AGGGGTTGGGGGGGGCCTTTTCTCTGCATCCCGTCAGCTGTGGGATACGTTTTTTTTAACCAGCCGAGTCACTTCACAGCAAAGAGGCTCATTTTCCTCTTAGTCAAGTATCACCTTGTAGCCATTTTTAATCCCTCCTGTTGGTGTAAAACAGCTGGACAAGAAGCGCGTCACGTCATTTTCTTTAGAGATAACCCCCCCCCTCTCTCTCTCCTCAGCTAGGGCCTCCACAGACATGTTGATAATGCTAAACCTATCACATAACCCTAAACCTAACACATAACCCTAAACCTAACCAAGAGCTGCTTAAAATGGTGTCTTTTAGAGTTTTGGAAGCCAAATTTGGCACTTTCTCCATTTATTTACAAGTTGTTTACTAAAATTAGAGGGTATACGTGGTATTACTCATTCCTAAAACGTCCTCCTCAACACTGGTCCAGACCTTCAGAAAAGCAAATTTTCACCTTACAGGTGGACACTGGATCCATGCCGGATTTCTCTGCTTCTTCCTGGTTCTTTTTCTGCTTTCTGTATTTCTGGGCTGCTTTTTCTTTTTTAAACATCACCTGGAGGGAAAAAGGGATTTAAGCCCCTGACAGCATTACCTCCTACTCCTGATGGATTTGTGAGTTTTATGAGACGTCTGTAATATCTGATCTGATGGGGGGGCTGTTTGCCGGGCACACAGATTCAGACGGGAGCTGATCACATCCTGACGGGACCTGGACGGGATTATTCTGATTAGAACCCGATCATCTGAGTGTCTGAGCACCCCATCAGTCCTCTGTCTTTAACCCCACTTCCTCCTGCCTTCTTTCTTTTTTTGGAGTTATCTTTACATTCTCCCCACCCACCCTCGGACTATTTCCTTCCCCCATTTGCAACCTTCCCCTCCCTCTATCCATCCCTCCATCTTTTCCATTAACAGGATGTGACCTGTGGGTAAGTGCTGGTGGAATGGCTCCTCACTGGGTTTTAAATAGCTCTGCTTTTCGCTGGCCTCTGTCTTCTGAGCTCTTATCCTCCCCCCCCACACTACCCCCCCATCGCCGTCCATTCCCCAACAGCTTCCTGCCCTACCCTTAGTCCCAGCTACTGATTTCATGTCTGGGTTTTCACCTGGTGGATTCAGGAGATTCCAGGC